TTTTCTTTTTGCTTATGTGGTGCTGAGGAATCGAACCCAGGGCCTCAGGCATGCAAGGCAAGCGCTCTACCACTGAGCCACCTTCCCAGCCCCCAAAAAAGTGTTCTTATAGACTTTTCTGCCTGGACTGGCTTTAAACTACAATCCTCAAATCTCAGCCTCCTAAGTAGCTAGGATTATAAGCATGACCACTTGCACCTGGCTCCACTTCCAGCTTTTTAGGGGCAGTTTCTTAGAGTTTAAAGTCTCATGGACTTTCTGGACCAGGCTGGCTTCAAACCACAATCCTCAGATCTCAGCTTCCTGATTATAGCCTCCTAGGATTACAGGCATGAGCCACTGGCACTCAACTTGTGGCTAAATTTTGAGCTCCTCAGGGGCAAGCCTTGTGTCTTATCTCCTCCTTTGCTACACGCAGTGTTTAGCATGCTCCTTACCTATGTGAAATTTCTAGTTAAGTGTTTGTAGAAAGAATAGACAAATGAATGGCATCCTTTTTATTGGGAAGCACCGTGGCATGCAGAAACCCACACATGTATCCTGTTAGTGCTTAGCTGACATTAGTTTCCACAAGGACACAATGATTTATCTCAGCTTAGACTTTATTGGTTTGGCTTCTTGGAGACTCTAGAGAAGGCAGGAAGTAGGAACTGAGTATGTAAAGGGCAGAGACCAGTCCTGCTCTGGGCTGGAGTCACTGAGACCTAGGAAAGTGGGGGCAGAAAAGGAGGGATGGAGAGAAGGGTCATTACAACTTGATGTTAGTGAAGCAAGTTTATCCTGGCACCCAGCCATAATTATGCCACTCGTGCCTCCAAGCTTTCATTCTTTCATTTTGTTTTTGATGATACTGGTAGGTACTCTACCACTTGAGCCCAACACTTTTTGCTTTAATGATTTTTCAAAGAGGATCTCTCAGGTCTCAATTTTTGTTGTTGTTTTTGTTGGTCATTAGGGTTGAACTCTGGGCCTGGGCGCTGTCCCTCAGCTCTTCAGCTCAAGGCTAACACTCTAGCACTTGAGCTACAACGCTACTTCAGGTTTTCTAGTGGTTTATTGGAGATAAGAGTTTCACTGTTTCCTGCTTGGGCTGGCTTTGAACCTCGACCCTCAGATATCCTCCTGAGTAGCTAGGATAACAGGTGTGAGCCACCTGGCTAGGTCTCAGATTTTTGCCCTACATCATAAAGAACCACAATCCTTTTTTTTTTTTTTTTTTGGTCAGTCGTGGGTCTTGAACTCTGAGCCTGGGCGCTGTCCCCCAGCTCTTCAGCTCAAGGCTAGTGCTCTACCATTTGAGCCACAGCACCACTTCTGGTTTTCTGGTGATTTATTGGAGCCTGCCCGGGCTGGCTTTGAACTGAGATCCTCAAATGTCAGCCTCCGCCATTGCTAGGATTACAGGTGTGAGCCACTGGCTCCCAGCACAATCCTCTTATATATGCCTCCCAGTAGGTAGGATGACAGATAGACACACCACCTTGCTGAGGTATTGATTGAGTGGCCATCTTGCTAACTTCTTTCCCAGCATGGTCTCTAATTGCCTTCCTTCCAAGTAGTTGGATTACATGCATGTGCTACTTGGACTGGCCCCAAATGGCTTTTTTAATAATAAAAATTCAGAATAATTCATAGTTTCCTACCTTCCTATGCAGATTTTCTCATATCTCTTTCTCTGTGGGTGTTGTCACATTCCTCTCTGTCTCTCTGTCTCTGTCTGTCTGTCTCTCTCTCTCTCACACACACATACACACACACACACACACAAACAAACACATACAGTATGTGATCCAGAGCTGAAGCTTCTACCTCCTGTTCAACATGCCCAAGCCACCATATTCCCTTACCTGAGGCCACAGAGTTCTGTTTGGTCCACCATCCAGGCCAGCAGTTCTTGAATCAGTAGCTTCTTCATCAGATCTTCATCACTGGAGTCCTTGGGCAGGGAGCTGAAAAGGAGAGAGAGGGAAGAGGCCTGTTTCAGCCTGGGATTCACTTAAAGAGAGCAAATACAGCTAGTGCTTAGACACCAAGGGGCCAGTGGATGGGGAAAGAAGCCAGCAGAGCTGCCTCTGTTATCTGGGCCCGCAGATGAAAATCTGGTTTTTGGCTTGTCCCACCTAGATCTGACACTTTAGTACAGTCAAAAACCAGACAGCGGGGCTGGGAAGGTGGCTCAGTGGTAGAGTGCTTGCCTTGCATTCCTGAGGCCCTGGGTTCGATTCCTCAGCACCACATAAGCAAAAAGAAAAAAGCCTGAAGTGGCGCTGTGGCTCAAGTGGTAGAGTGCTAGCCTTGAGCTGAAGAGCTGAGGGACAGCGCCCAGGCCCAGAGTTCAGGCCTCACAACCGGCCCCCCCCCCAAAAAAAAAAAACAAAAACAAACAACAACAACAAAAAACAGACAGCATTCTGCTGTGAGGCTACCCACCCATCTTTAAAAGTTTCCTAGAATAAATTCCAAAGACCCTAGAGGGAACTTGGGGGATATTTGCCGGTTGGAACAATCTATGCCACACATCCCTCCCTTCCTTAGAGAGGGGAAGCTGATATTAGAGGGCTGGCCTTGGAGAATCCTGATTCCCACACAGCCTTGATTCTGAGGTCTCTTCTTCCTCACGCCTCCCTTACTCAATAGATCCACTTGTGCACTAAGGCATGGGAACTTTGAGACCCTTCCCCATACCCTCCCTGCAGCCTGGCGGGTACTCCAGGAGTTTGTTCATGGAGACCCCATTCTGAATTGTAAGAAGAAAAGGATGTGTCATGTTAGGCAGCTGCCCTTCCTTGCAATCTGGAAGGGGAGCTGGACACTCTGCCCCTGCCTTTCCCTGTGGGGACTCACCTCTGCAGCTCCCTGGTGGCCTCCTCATCCCTCTGAGGTTGCCTGGCTAGCTCCAGGGCTCGGGCCTCCCTCTGGGTGATGTTGTGTTTCCAGCTGGTAAGAGGAAGACTTGAGAGTGGTGGGGGAGACACTGCTCCCCCTAGGGACACTTGAACTTTCCAGTACCTACACCCCAGGAACGATGGAATCTCTTTCTCCACTAACCCTTCCACTGCTGGGACAACTGCTCAGGCTGTCAACTATATACCAGGCTGTCCAAACAGCAAGGGCAGCACATGAGAATGAGGATAGATTGTTTCCAAACAGTCACACGAAGCAGCCCGACACTTCCTGCCTTCATCCCCAGCCCTCTAAGGATCTCCCTCTGGACTCAATTTCCTGGTCTTCTCCCTAGTAGCAAAGGAGAGGAGACTAGTCCTCATCACACCCCCAGACTAGGTTGCTGCCCCAGTCAGTCCTGGCCACACCTACTAATGTCCAACTCCTTGTTTTTTAGTAAGAGGTGCCACTGGAGTTGCACACACCTGGCCCTTGTGATCACATTTGGTGAACTGGCCTGAATGGAGGAGAGATGGCTATACGTGATGGGAGGGACTACATGAAATCACTCACTCGTTCTTCCTCCCCTTCTGGGCCAGCAGCCAGTTCACAAAGTCCTGCTGGCGGATCTTGTCCATGGCGATACTGTAGTCACTGATGAAAGTTCCTTCTGCATACCTTGGACCTCGGGGGCCACCATACTTAGCATGAGATCTGAGGGGTGATAGACACAAGAATGGCAGAAAGAGGGACAGAGAAGGGGGAAATGACAGTGCTGTGGAAGTGATTATCACTAATGGAAGACACACATCTGAAAGTGAGCCAGCAGGTTCTCAGGATCATTTCCACAGACAACCTGTCACTCCACTGATCCCCCCTGGGACTTCATCCTCAGCTCAAGAGGCCACTTTCCACATCTATGTGTGTATATGTCTCTGTGCCTGGGAGTGATTCTGGATTCTGCACAAAGCCATAAAGTGTTCATCCTAAAAGATGGCATCACCATAGTGCCTTGCTTTCTCCCCCTTTTCCTGGCCTTTCCTGATTCAGCTCTTGGATTCACATTCAATAGAGACAATAATAATAGAGGGCTGGGAATGTGGCTTAGTGGTAGAATGCTTGCCTAGCATGCATGAAGCCCTGGGTTCCATTCCTCAGTACCAAATAAACAGAGCCAGAAATGGTGCTGTTTAAGTGGTAGAGTGCTAGGCTTGAGCCAAAGAAGCTCAGGGACAATATCCAGGCCCTGAGTTCAAGCCCCAGGACTAGCCAAAAAAAAAAAAAGAAATAATAATCGTGAACTCAGCCAAATGTGGAGGTACACCCCTATAATCCTGATACATAGAAGCTGAGGCAGGAAGATCATGAGTTCAAGACCAGCCTGCACTACATAGCTAGACCATCTCAATAATAAAAATACTAATAATAACTGAGCATTTACTATGACTCTGACAATCCTATAAGCCTAACATCCTCACAACTTCCCTGAGAGGTGGGTCCTATTTTCCTTGTGCTTGTGTGTACTAGGGTTTGAACTTGGCCTTTTCCCTCAAGGCTAGTTATCACCCATACCTCCGAGCTCTGGTTTTTTGCTAGTTAATTGGAAATGAGTATCTCCTAGATTTTTCTATCTGGGATGGCTTTGAAATGTTATCTTCCTATTTCAGCCTCCCAAGTAGCTAGGATTAAGGGTATAAGCCACCAACTCCCAGTGGTGAGTATAGGTTCTAAATGGTCACATAATGCTGTCTCTCCATGGGTTACTGACAGCTATCCTGCACACTTATAATTTTACATTGCCAAATGGGACTGTCCTTGAATCTGAGAAGATCCAGCTTTACTGAGACAAGCATCTCTGGGTTCCTGGACACCCTAAAAGAGCTGCTGTCTTCAACCACTATATCTGATTTGCTCATAGTACTTAGGACTGACTGGTCTGTGTGCTCCCTGACAGCAGATGTTCATAGATCACCAGTCCTATGAATCCCCATGTCTAGTGCCCAGGAGGGGCATACAATAGAAAACGGTTTGAACGCCAGGCGCCAGTGGCTCACACCTATAATCCTAACTACTCAGGAGGCTGAGATCTGAGGATCGCAGTTCAAAACCAGCCCGGGCAGGAAAGTCAGTGAGACTCTTATCTCCAATAAACCACTCGAAAACCGGAAGTGGCGCTGTGGCTCAAGGGGTAGAGCGTGTGCCTTGAGCTGAAGAGCCCAGGGACAGCGCCCAGGCCCATAGTTCAAGCCCCACTACAGACAAAAAAAGAAAGAAAGAAAAGAAAAAGAAAACAGTTTGAACTTCCACTAGAAAGGGAGATCTTCCTTAGGTTCTCAGCCACTGAGAAGTTTGTTCACAGATCTAACTAGTCTCCACTACTGAAACAATAGCACCTTAGAAATACTCTTGATTCTCAGCTAGGTACTGGTGGTTCATGCTTGTAATCCTAGCAACAGAGGAGGCTGAGATCCAAGGATCACAGTTCTAAGCTAGCCTAGGCAGGAAAGTCTGTGAGACTCAACTTCAATTAACCACCAGAAAACCAGATGTGACACTGTAACACAAAGTGGTAGAGCACTGGTCTTGAGCAAAAAAGCTCGGGGACAGTGCCCAGGCCCTGAGTTCAAGCCCCATGACTGGTACCAAAAAGAAAGAAAGAGAGAGAGAGAGGAAGGGAGGGAGGGAGGAAGGACAAGAAAGAAGGAAAGAAAGAAAAAGAAATTCTCTCTCACTGTTCAGTAGCTAACTGGCTTCTCTTCCCAACTTCTTTTTTCTTATTTTACTTATTTATTTATTTATTTTGGTCAGTCGTGGGGCTTGAACTCTGGGCTTGGATGCTGTCCCTCAGCTCTTCAGCTCAAGGCCAGCACTCTACTGCTTGAGCCACAGCGCCACTTCTGGTTTCCTAGTGGTTTTTATTGGAGATGAGAGTCTCACGGACTTTTCTGCTCAGGCTAGCTTTGAACCGTGATCCTCAGATCTCAGCCTCCTGAGTAGTTAGGATTACAGGTGTGAGCCACTGGCACCCGGCTCTTATTTTCTTTTTTCTTTTTTTATTTTGTGCCACCAGTGCCTATCTCTAATTTACTCTTAGTCTAGTCTAGGGTTCATCACTCCCTCTCACCCCCAGTGAACCAACTCATCCCCAGCCCCCTGCCTTCCTGTATCCTTACCTGGACTGAGCCTCTTTCTCTTCTCCCAGCCCCACGGCCAGGAACAGAAGCACCAGCAGCAGCGAGCAGGTCTTTGCAGCCACCATCTTCCACGGCTTATTTCCTGACCTGAGAGAAAAAGAGACCAGAATGAGGGGCCGCACTGTGCCAAGGGCAGCCGGGAGGCTGTGCAATGCTGGGGCCTGAGCCGGTGCTGGTAGCTGGGGAAGGATGGATTCTAGGAGGCTGGGACAGGTATGCTCACTATAAGGGACATAAGCCTGACCAAGAGAGGAACTTGTCTTATTCCTTGTTTCATTTTAAGTGGATTCTGAGTAGGTTGGGAGGTTGGTGATGAGGGAGATATCTAGGAAGAATAAATCAGTAAAGGTCTATGCTGGATACTCCCCTTCTCTGGATCCAATTTGTAGCAGCCAGCCTCCTTCCTTTTTATTGGGCTGTAAGCTAAATTATTGTAACCCTCTTTCCCTACATGAGAACTACGTGCAGAAGCTGGACATGCAGATTTATACCTGTAATCTCAGCACTTAGGAGGGTGAGGCTTGAGGATGGTGAATTTGAGGCCAGCCTGGGCTATGAAATACCCTACCTCAAAAAAAGAAAAAGAAAAGAAAGGAAATAAATAGAAGGAAGAAAAGAGAGGGCTGGGAAGGTGGCTCAGTGGTAGAGTTCTTGCCTTGCATGCATGAGGCCCTGGGTTTGATTCCTCAATACCACATAAGCAAAAAGAAAAAAAAAAAGCCAGAAGTGGGGCTGTGGCTCAAATGGTAGAGCACTGGCCTTGAGCTGAAGAGCTGAGGGACAGCGCCCAGGCCCAGAGTTCAGGCCCACGACCGGACCCCCCCCCAAAAAAAAAAAGAAGGAAGAAAAGAGAAAAAAAGCCAAGCACTAGTAGCTCATGCCTATAATCCTATCTACTAAGGAAGCTGAGATCTGAAGATCAAGGTTCAAAGCCAGCACAGGCAGGAGCCTGTAGACTCTTCAATTAACCACATAAAACCAGACATGTGTTGTGGCTCAAAGCGATAGAGTACTAGTCCTCAGTGAAAAAGCTCCACAACTACCAAAAATTAAACACACACACACACACACACACACACACACAGAAAGCAAGAAAGAAAAACAGAACCATCCTATTCTTCCCCTTCTCAGACTTAACTCAGGAGAGTTCTTCCTAAAGTCTGACCTGTATTTTTCTTTTGGGGGCTTGATCTATTTCAGTCTTCAATAAAGATGAAGATCAATAAGGAACCTTCCACCAAACTCTGCAGACCATAACTAGACTGAGAGTCATGTGGTTGCAACTAAAGAACCTTCAGAACCACCTTCCACAGAAGAGATGCCAGAGTTGAGCATCTCAGGCTGCTAAGATTCACCTCCACCCTCTCCCTGGTCATCCCAACCATCCCTGACCCAGCCTTTCTCTTACCAGACTTGCTTTCTGACTTCCTGAAGGGCAGGATGGGGTTCCTTCCTCCTCCTTGCCAGCTCTTGGAAGCCTGCCTCAAGAAAGTCTGTCCTAGCTCCTTTATATCCAGTCCTCATAGACCTGCTGATTAGCCTAAAAGCATCTTATCTCAGGAAATTAAGCCCACAGCTCCTGCCACATTAAGTCCATTTCACACATAATGAAGTTTGCCCTGTCTACCTACGCTGAGCTAATTGGTGATTAACATTTGTATATCTTTAGCTGCTATCTGGGGCCTGCCCATTGTCAGGGTACCCTAAGTCCCCCCTTTTTCTCTTTTCTGCTTCTCTAGGTATAATTGTCTGCCTACTTCTAGTCAGAGTGCCTCAGTTGTAAAGGGTTAGCTTCATGGATACGTGGCAATGCCTGGTGGGACAGAGGCCCCTTCCATAAAGCAACAGTTAATTAACTTTGGGAGAAGAGGAGCATCCCTAAGTCATCTGAACCCCGTCTCTGCAGAGTGCTCCCATGGTTTGGTCACTGTGGCAGTGCTAAGCAGGAGACTGTCCCAGCAAGCCAGAGAATGGAGAGGTTTCCTAATGATGGCTTAGGTCAGCTGAGAATGCACACTACCTGCTTAGGGCCACAACAGAACAGGGAAGCAAAGAGTGTCCCTTCTTCCAGGAAGGTCCAGTACCTGCGTCTCTCTGCAAAACATGGGACATGTGCCGCCTCCTCAAATGCCTACTCCCTAGAGTCTGTCACCTGTCTTCATCAGCGTGGGCGCCCTGATATCACACTGCTTGTCACACCAAGGGCTGAGCGGTGCCGTGTCTTCTCAGTACAGTGAGGCTTCCTGGGTGGAAGGGTGTGCCCCTTGGATCTCTCCCTGTCTCTGTCCAAGTACTTAGGACATGACTCCGCCCACAAAGGCTGTCAGTGTAGATGGGCAGGGTACAGGCTATAATTTTGGCAGACTCCCGAGGCTTCCTTCTGGGCTTCTCCACTCACCCTGATCCTTGGAATCATAAATGGCCAAGCTCATGCTCTGCCTTATCAGCTAATCAAGGCCACTTTGCTTCCCAGGTGAGCTCACGGGCCTGGGAGCAGATCCAAGGTGAAGTTAAGTGCTTATGTGGGTTGAGAGGCCCTGCACAAGGAAGGCTGCTTATTTCTGCATCCTAGGAACCTAAGCTGCCTACTCACTCATTGTTCACCTTGGAGAAAATCCTCTCCCCAGGTGAGTGCTCCACACTCCAATCTCCCAGCTGCCACTGAGCAGAAATTGGACATCACCCTGGATTCCATATCCAGGGGCTGCAGAGCTGTTTTCTGCTAAGCAACATAGATAGTGGACTTTGGAGGGTTTGTATCCAAACCTGGTTGTTCCTGCTTGAAGGCAGAGGGTAGCCAAGAAAGTGAACAATTTTCCTGGGACCCCCCCACCCCAAGTCTCCTTCCAAATCAGAGTCAAAAAAAAAAAAAGAAGCTTCTGGTGGTGCATATCTTTAATCCCAGCACTTGGGATTCTGAAGTAGGAGGATTGTGAATTCAAGGCCAACCTGGGCTCCATAGCAAGTTCTAGTTCAGCTTAAGCTATTAGTGATACTCACTCTCCCTCCCTCTAAAAAAACAAAGCCAACCACCAATGCCTTAGATCTATAATCCTAGTTATTTAGGATGTTGAGAATGACAGGATTGCATTTAGAAAACAATCAGAACAGAAAAGTTCATGAGGCTCCTGAATTCATAGCGGCTGTAGTGGTACATGCCTGTCATCCCAAGATACTTGCGAGATTGAGAATGGAAGAATCAGGGTGCCAGGCTAGCCGAGGCAGAAAGGTCCATAAGACTCGATCTCTACGAAGAGAAGCAGGACGAGGCATCACGCTTCTGTCATCCCTGCAATGACAGAAAGCCTGAATTAGGAGGATCCTGGCTCAAGAGCATGCCTAGGTGGAAAGCAAGACATAATCTCAAAAAGCAAAAGCTGAGTGCTGGTGGCTGACACCTGTAATCCTAACTATTTAGATTTGCAATTTTTTTTTGTTGGTCATGGGACCTGAACTCTGGGCCTGGGCATTGTCTCTCAGCTCTTCAGCTCAAGAAGAGCGCTCTACCACTTGAGCCATAGCACCACTTCTTCCTAACTATTTAGGAGACTAAGATTTTTCAGAGACAGCCACAGGCAGAAAAATCTGTGAGACTCATCTCCAATTAACCACCAGAAAACCAGATGGCACTGTAGCTTAAGGGGTAGAGTGCTCACCTTGAGCTTAAGAGCTCAGGGACAGTGCCCAGGCCCAGAGTTCAAGAACCACAACCAAAAAACAAACAAAAAAAACCTCAGCAAAAGTCAAGATTAGGGAACTGATTCAGGTGGTAGAGGACCTGCCTAACAAACATGAAGACTTTTATTGTCAATAAGTATAAGAAAGTAAGGAAGCCGGGCGTTGGTGGCTCACACCTGTAATCCTAGCTGCTCAGGAGGTTGAGATCTGAGGATCACCGTTCAAAACCAGCCAGGGCAGGAAAGTCCATGAGACTCTTATCTCCAATTAACCACCAGAAAACTGGAAGTGGTATTGTGGCTCAAGTGGTAGAGCACTAGCCTTGAGCTGAAGTGCTCAGGGATAGCACCAGGCCCAGAATTCAAGCCCCACAACCAACCAACCAAAAAAAGAAGAAGAAAAAAAAAGAGAAAAAGAAAGCAGGGAGACAGGAAAAAAGAAGTGAAGAGGGAGGAGGAGGAAGAGGAGGGTTCTATAGTAGGTTCCAGTAGTGGAGAGGCCCATTTGGTCTTCTGCACTTGGGGTAGGCAGCTTTGAAGGCCAATGGTGCCTGAAGTCCCCATTCCAATCCCCTCTGCAACCACCTCCCTGACCACATCTCTCTTTGATCATGAAGTGGGTCTCTTGCCCTAACCTGGAACAGGCAAGAGAGGATGTGGCCTGGCCCCTGGGAGGGGAATGGTAGTCAGGGAGGGTTACCAGAGCTGCTGCTCAAGTCTACAAGCTCCACATTTCCCAGGAGCCACATTGCAGTGTGATGTGGAGAGGCCCAGAGATCAGAGAAGTCTAACTCCCAAGCAGTGCCCGCAAGACCCACAGGGTATGCTGGGAGGCAGGAAAGGGGAAAAGATGACCTTGGGAGGTTTATAGTATAGTTTACTGGTGATTAGAAGGGCTTGTTGGACATGTGTGGGTGAATGAGTATGCACGCACATGTGTGGTGTGTGGTTTTGGAGATCAAACCTCCTGAATGCTAAACATGCTTTCTACCACTGAGCTACTCCAGCCCAGCTTGGTGGACTTGACCAAAATAGTTCAATAAATCTACCGAACAACCCAGTCTTCTTAGCCACACCAACAGGCACAATGCTCTAAGGTGCCTGGAGTCCTGTGTGATTTGAGGGTAAGTCAGGGAGGGTAAAGCTCAGGATGGAGCAGAGCTCTCCCACCTTGATCTGTTCTGCAGCAGGAAAATTTCCAGGATGTGTGGGGTCAGAGAAGACACAGGATGAGATAGATAGGAGACAACCTTAATAGGCCCCAGTCATGGAGGGTGTGCATTTGGTTTGGGAGTCCTGGAGTAAGATAGGAAAGGAAGGGTGATAAGTGGTACTTTGATCCAAGAACCCAGTCTCCCACTTCCAAGCTCTTCTTGTATTCTTAGTCT